AATCGCATACATGTCGATTCGATATGTGCAATGGCAGCTCGAGAGTGACTTTATTTTACATTGAAATAGTGAAATATTTTCAAATTCATTCGAGTGTTTATGCTAGGTGTTAATCTTTCGAGTCTTATATAATGATTGACTGACTTTCATTAATCGGCGACTATCAGGAATATCCATAGTTGGTAATTTTATTTAATTTGACGAAGGCAATTTATATTAGAGAATACAAATTGTTAAGAAACTCATACCATAGACTTAAATTCTCAGTATTTTCTCAGTATTACAATTGACATTTAAGAATCACTTGTTTTATATGTAAAATGCAATAATACATAAATGAAATTTTTTTAACTCAATATAGTATGTAGATATTTTTAAATTAAAATCTTCATGAATTAACAATGACTGTAAAATGTTAAGATATCGTGTTATCAATGATGTTTTCATAATAATTTCAAACTTTCACTTTCATTGAATCTGTTTATAAATACAATTGAGGCGCTAGCGTGTTCAGAAAAAGGAACGACAAATATAATACAGTTTGAATGGATTCTAGTTCAATATTATCAATTCTTCAACTCTTTCGACATTTTGTCCCGTTGATGAATGAGCATTAAAATCATAATGCACAATTTAATTGCTGTTTCAAAATGAATTAACCTCCTTCTCTACAGGACAACGAAGCAAGTCGTTCGAATCATTTTATTATTTATTTTCATAATAAATTAAAGAATTTTTGCAAACAATACTTTTTTTTTTTTACAGCTGCAAAAATGCCCATAAATTATTGATGTAACATCTATAAACTATTAATTATAAATTATTTATGGCTTTAAAAATAATTTTAACCACTTTTACTGTTTCTTTATTAAAGGTAACGATGATTCTTCAATTTGAACATTTTATATGCTTTTCTTACAGTATCTATAGTATTTCATTAATAGTATAATGTTACATTCAATTTCCATCAATATATGACGTTATTTGTGAGCAATTTTTATTTGAATAATAGTGCTTACTTAAGTAGACACGAATCTCATTATAATCATTGATATTCGTTCGAACTATGTACATAAGTCGAGCTATCTCTACAATTCTGACATGCATACCATGAATATATATATATATATATATATATATATATATATATATATTTCACTATCTTAATTCCATTACATCACCATCTTAATACTTAGAATTACAATGCACTATTTAAATTTATTTATTAAATCCCTCCCTTCCCCAAAATTGTATCTGTAATGCTATTAAGCCAAGCAATTATTAAGCCAACCTTCAAGTGGGTGTTCTAATCACCCATGCAGTATAATTAGTATTATATTGTAGTAATATAATAATACTTAACATATACAGAGATATTCATTATAATAATGCTGAACCATACGTGGATGAATGAAACGACTGAAGTTTGTTGATATTTGTTAAATAAATATACGAAAACGTCATGCAAATGTGTATAATGATGTGCGACAGGCTATCAACAATCTACTGATTTCCCAAGACTTATAGATTTTTCATTCCTTTTCTGTTTAATCTTTTTAAAAAGATCGCTCTTGTGATTGTGAAATCGACTCTCCACTGCGAGTGAATTCGTTAAATACGCATGTTTCGGCTCTGATTTTCTGACCCGTCAAATTGTTTACTGAATTGCAATGCCGAATTTGCACATTGAAATCAGACAATTTGCAACAGCCTGTCGTTATGTGCACAATTTTTTTTATGTATGTTAATATTGTTACTTTCGCTTCGTGTGTCAGGTTATGCTGGCATTTGAAAATATGATGTTTACGATTTTGTAATAAGGCAATGAAAAGTAACAAGGTTCTTAAGTTAACTGACCGAATTAGGAATTACAAATTATATTGCTATACAAAGTTTGCTTTTTCAAATTTGTATTTTGCAATGGCTATAAAAGATTTCAATCTATTTTCAAATTTCATAAATAACGGATAACGAAGATATTAATTGAGGAAGAAGTTCACGTATGGTAAAATCGAACTCTGCTATTACTGTAATAGAAATATTCGTATTATTATTCGTAATAAAACTATCGTTACTCAAGCATTGATCAAGTTAACTACAATATTTTATTAAATTTAGAAATTTCAGATATCAATACTATCTAGGAAAGTCATAAATTCCATAGTAAATTAATTTAATGTAAAATAAACCATTTAACGTCTGTATTGTAATGTCTTAAATTTAATATATCGGTATTTATTTTCCTTATTGTTAATATAGTGGATTACTTAATAATTACCATTAGGATATTTATGAAATGAGTATTAAATTCATCATTTCTGCAAAGAGTGAATGGCATAGCAAATATATTTAACTAAATAATGTTCGAATGAATAAGAAAAATCCTTAACTCCACGCCTCCTGTGTGGAGTGCGATTAGGACTGCGTCACACGAGTTAATTTAATTGTAATTTTTATTTCAAAATAGTCTTTTCCTTAGATTCGTTGATTTATCATATATGTGTACAATAAATTCCATTTAATTCTCCTTGTTCGAACAAAATTCTTTCCCATAAATGAAATACGATGGAATACGACGATGAATTTTTAATCTTCAATATTAGCATGAAATTTCAACTGATATGTGGAAAATTTACAACTACCGACTTCTTATTTTCAGAATGATATTGACTTTTAGATATATGTTTTATTTATTAATAGAAGTATGAAAAAAATTATTATATTTAACAAAAAATTCCTTATTAAATTGTGAAATATTTATAAAATAGTTTTTAATTAGAAACATAAATAATAAATAACGTTGTCTTGAAATTTAATTTTAAAAACTTCGCACAGTGAATTAATTTTTAAATAAACTTAAGAAGTTTTAAAAAAAAAAAAACGTAATTTTTCTTTTTTTGTACAATTGTATGTTTTCGAAAATAAAAATTACAAAAATACCTATTGATTATTGTGAAGCGAGAGTGAAAAATAAATTGAATCAGAGTATTTCCATTTTGATCAAAACTGTAATAAGTTTTGTCATATGTACACAAAAATTTTCTAGTATTAATTATTTTATATAACTCATTATTATACATTTAATTATTTATAAAAATGGATGAGTTACGATGCTTTAATGTTATAAATGTTTGAATGATCTAAATTATCCACGTACAATTAATTACTCTGCGGTAAAATCGTTTCAACGAAAGTTTTTAACAATAAAGTAATTTACAATCCATTATAAATAAATTTGTGTAAATTATCTAAATAAATTATTTAAAGTTTATTTTGAATTTACTTTCTCTAAAGGTAATATATTAATTAAAAATGTGTATCATTTCGATCAATTTTATTAACCAATTGACGTTATATATTTTTTATTGTCTATTGTCATTATATCTTTAATTTTTTAAAATTATATACAACTTTCATACAATAATTATATATATATATATATATATTATATAAATTGATTTAAAAATTATTTATGAAAAAAAACAATATTACCTGAGATATACAATGATGAAGATTTTGAAGTCGAAAGTTTACTAGTTTATTGTCCATATAATCATTTTTAAAATGAATAGATGTTAATTAAGCATATGAAGTAAGATATTTACACGAGTGATAATATCTTGTGAAATTTGATCAAAGCATTTATTTGGAACATTTCCTTTATCCAATATCCAATGAAATGTTAATGATTCATTCAGAATTGGATAAAGTGAAAAGCTGATAAAGGAAAATAACTATAATTATACTTGAAGAAGGTGGTGTAGTCATTTGTGAGTTATTAAAAACAAAAATCGTTCTTCCCCGTTCCATTAAATGAAGGACATTGGCTGCAATAAATAAAATAATAACTATTCGCTTTAATTTTTCCAATAAATAAATATTTACCACTTGAGTGGTTTATTATTAAAAATTAACGTTACGCGTATAATTAAATTAATAGAATTAATGAATTTAAACTTTCGATGACTTAATACTACTCAAAATTGAAATATATAAATTTATATAAATATATAAAATGTCAAGGTGAATTATAAATAATATAGCGATAGCGTTTATCAATACCATCACTTTAACGCCAATTGCTCACGAAACGATACTTTTAATGTTTAACATGTAACATAAGATAAATCTTTCCTTACACATTGATTTTACAACATGTCAGATATTTTATCAATGTGGCGACTGTGAAATTTTATGAAAAAAAAAGAAAGAAAAAAAGAAAAAAACCAATAGGTGAAAATAAAAATAAAAATCGATTCTTTCAAATGCTAATACCTGTTTAAAATTAAATTCGAAAACTGGTGACTGCAAATCTAAATATTTAAATTTGTTTATTTTAATTTAGCTCTAGAATTAGAAAATGCACATATTAGATGCGAAGTGTTCGGAGAGGCGATTTATTTTCTGTAAGGAAAAATAAAATCTTGCTTTAAAGCGAAGGAAAAGAAACGGATATTATTAATAGTTAACGTTAAATAATACAATCGACAAGTTGCATAATTATTTCTTTTAGAATGCACGGAGTGCCTAATTTTTTCACGGTATATTTTGCAAATGATAATATAAAATAATAATTCGAATCGATAAGTTTTGACATTATAATAAAGCGCATAGCACACGAAAATCTTTATTTCCATAAGAAATATAATTTTCACGTACTACAGCATGAAAAACTTGATGAAGTGCGTATGACGCGTAGTCAGGTAAAATAATTTATTTTCATTGAAAAAATTTTCCAATTCTGCACTTATAAACGGATAACAAAAGAAACGGCTGACAACGTACAAAGAATGAATTGTGCGTGAAAAAATGAGTAAGAAGACCAAATGGGGAGCCGGAGTGTGATGGAAAATGACACTTGATACTGAAATCGTAAGGCAAAAGGGAAACAAAGCAGTCGAGTACACTGATCCTTTTAAACGTCGAAGCGGGGAGTCATCCTTATCCTTAAACCTTAAGCCAAAAAGCCAGTGGCGCAATTATGCCCTCGGACGAAATACCTTCGATCATTCTTCTCTCTTCTTCACTCTCTGTCTCTGTCTCTCTCTCTCTCTCTCTCTCCGTATCTGAGTAGCCACTCGAGCGCGAACTATCCCGTACAGCTCGGCGGGCTGTTTGACGCACTTCCCAAACCTCACGAACTCCGAAGGGCCGAACCACGAGGACACATTCGCCGAGTGCTTGACCGGCCGGCCGCCTGTCTGCGTATCTGCGTGGCTGCGTGCGTGCGTGCGTGCGTGCGTTCGTGCGTGCGTGCGTGCGTGCGTGCGTGCGTGTGGCTCGCGCGCGCAGCCACCGAGAACTGGAGAACCGCACGGGTCGCCGGACGGGCTCGAGCCTACGAGGAGGAGGAGGAGGAGTTGGTCGTTGGCGGGGGCCGAGAGAGCGCTGACGTCGCGGTCGAGCGGCGATTCGCGGTGACGGGGAGACGAGGCCGAACTTCCGGGCCCTGGCTATCCCTTTGGCTTGGGGCTCGGCATCCTGCTGTATCCTCGGCCTCGCTTCCACGAATCAAGCCCCCTCGGCTCAGCTCGGCTCGCCCGTTTTTAATCCTGTGAAGTCCAGTTTGGTCCATCGAATGTTTTTGCAAATATGCCCGCGGCTCCTTTCGACTGGCCGCTCGATTCGATTCCCGCCAGCTTCCATCAAGGAAACAAGAATCTCTCATTTATCGTTACGCTAATAAGCTACGGTAATTATGCAATTTTTTATTCGACTTCGTTGTCTCGTGTGTGCAATTTTAACTGCATTTTTACATCTGAGATGCAGTTAAGAGACGACGTTTATAAGAGTTTTTTGCAATTCGATTATAGATTTTGCGAGTCTCGGTTTGCTTTTGATCGATTAATTCAGTCAATTTATTAATTTCCTACAAATCAATTTAAAAGCATAATGAATCGATAAACATTTCTCCATCAATTCTGTTTCTCTCTTTTATTCACAATGTACGCTAAGATAAGTTTCTCATTTATTCTGTCAAGCTGTCAAGCAATGCATTTTTTAAAAGACAGTCCATACGTGAAAATGGGATTCAACATCGGGATTCCGAGGATCTGGCGATATTATAAAAGTTTCCTCGGAGTTCAAGATCCGTCAGCTTCTTTCAAGGATGCGAGAAGATCCCCGACTTTTTTTCACAATATCTTTTTCCGCAATCGCCACTCGTTCATTCTTTTAGCGCTTAAATTCATTCTCGAGTAAGAGGAACTGAGAGAACCGTCAATCTCTGCAGCTCTTTAGCTCGCTTATTGACCAATTTCATTACATGCGTAACACGTTTTGAAATTTATCCGTGGTGTTGAACAACCTTTTCTAATTTTTTTTATAGTTCTTTATACCTCTAATCTCTGGTTATAAAACACAATGTTACTATTAGCATGTTTGAGGCACAATTTCGAATTCTGGATTACATTTTTTGTTAATTTGAACAATCGTTACTCTTAAGTAAAATAAGCTGATTAGTGATAGTCAAAAACATTAAAGATAAATTTTTATTTTCTACAAAAATCAAAGAAATATTTATATAAAACATTCTGCTTTTTTTGTTTCGTGCATAGGTTTTTGAATATTTTAATTACTTTGATGATTATTTATATTCTAATATTTTTATATATATATATATATATATATATATATATATATATATTGCTTATGCAAGAAATAAATCTATCGATGCAATAACAATCAAATCATATCTTGAAGAATAAATAATAAAATAGTTAGATAAATAATACTAATAATATAATAAATATTCAATAGAGATAAGATTATTTAAAATTTATTCATATTATAGGGCGTAAATTTAAATAAATATTTTTTATTCATGAATATTTTATGAAAAAAAAAAACAAATTTCCTACTAAATGATAATACACGATATGCTCATAAATGTACCTAAAATAAGTACTATAATTATTTATAATTAATAAAACTCTTTTCTAGTGTAAAAATCGACCGTTGAGGATAATTTATAAAATTCACGTTACATGAAAGATTAACTTAAAACAATAGCCAAACTTACTAAATGATGTATATAATTATTATGTAGAAGATTAATTAATGATTTCTCAATAATTACATATCAATATATGGCATCACTAACTCATTAATCATAGCTTCAATGCAACTGTAAAATTACAGATTAATAATAAGTAATTGATGAATAATAAGGAAAAGTAGGATTCTAAAGAAAATTGAAAAAGAAAATTTAAATATCAATGAATTAAGATTTTTAATGTAAAATTTCTTAAATTACCAAGTACTCGATTTCTTTCTTATATTCTTATTGCTGCTTTCATTAAAATTTATTTTGATCTTAAATGTTCCTTAAGTTAAAGTTATGTTGCTCTTATTTCGCCTAACGTACGTAATTTCCAATTAAAAACAATGCTATTTGATAATATTAAAATACAATTATATTCTTATAATTAATTGTTACCAAAAAAAAAAAAAAAAAAAAAAAAAAAAAAAAAAAAATACATTAAATTAGGTATTAAAAATTCTTTATTCTACAAAAATTATTCTATTTTATGCATTTAAGTATTAATACGTATTTCCGAAACAATGAAGTTGATTTTCATAAACTCGTTTTTACTTAAACCTTGGAAATAAATTCTTAAAATGCTTGCTTTCATTTTTCTTCACTTCGTGTCATCAAATGAAAATGTTGTCATTTAAATTATTTGACCAAATATTTCATATATATTTTTCGAATTTATAAACATTGAGCGTTTCCTAGTATTTTCTATCCGAAAATAAAGGGGAAACTAAAAAATCACAGGGAGGCAGCGTTGCAATTTTCATTATTCTGCGTATTAATGACCATTTCATGACATCAGTTATCCTCACATAGAGTTTACGGTCTAAGATATTCAAGGATACCTGGTCGTCGTATATTAATCAATAAAGCACGCAAACAACTTATATATGACTTTATGCAAAATTGGTAAAATAATAATTATTCCAGAGGCAACCTGACCGTACCGATAATGTTTATGATGTTACTTTTTTATTATTTTCCTTGTTTCGCGTTCATATATTCATCGGCAGTACTTGAAGAAGAATTAGAATATTCATACAATTATATTTACAATAGATTGTAATCGTCCAGGTAGATTTCACAATTTAATTTATATTAGAATATGCGATTAGTCAAAGTGCTGAAAAAATAAAATACATTTTTGTTTGTTTTACTAAATTTTCTTTGCATTACTGATGATTTGGTTGAAGAAAATTAGCCGTTTTAGTCTAAAACAACTAAAAACAAACTACAAGTAATAACCGACAATTATTTATTATATATTTCGACTTTATTCATTAGCTTGAACTAAAATATTTATATTCTATTTTTTGAATACACATAAATACACATTTATATAAGAATTTCTATTTATATTCTGAGAATATCTATGTATTTACATTAATCCTTCTTCCTTTCCTTTTTCAACGATTAACTAGCAAATGAACTATAATAACGCATACGCGATAAGCGTATATAACAATAATTAATTTATTAAACGATCGGTGAAAAAGAAAAAAAAATTATTAATGCAATTTCTGACAAATTATTTGCAAATTATTAACTTTTTGCTAACTATTTTTTCTTCAATTTTTTAATGCTACAATTTAATGCATATAACTAATGCGGATAATTTTCATATAATTTTTATAATAAATATCAATTTTAATGCGAACAAACGGTTTAAAAATAACGTAAAATAATAATAAGAGGAAAAAAAATCAAATAAATAATTATTACACACTTAGTTTTATATTTATTATTATATAAATTATTTATTATTATTGAATTTACAAATAAAAGTATATTTAATAAGCTTCTAATGATAGGTTAATTATTATATCATTATATTTATTTTTCTTATTTTTCAAAATTTACCCAACATGGAATCAAACAAATATTAACCATAAAAAAAAAAATTTAACTTTTCGAAGCAGTTTATAATAGCTTTTATAATTTATTTATTTAATTTTTACGTTGAAAAAAATTAATGGCTCAAGATTTTCTTCTTTTAAAATCTTCTCTTGACTTTCCATGATAAATAGCATGAATTCACATCTAATAGGCTTGTAAATTCCCGCAACTTATGCAAAATTAAATAGTAAAAATATGATTTATATTCGCAATATTTGTTTAGCAAAGCCAGAGCCGATCTCTATAATAATTACCTGTAGAAATAATAAATTCAGGATAGCGTTATATTGGCAATATAATTCCATAATATGTATGATGAAAGTATATGAGAAGGGAAAATTTATAAACAATTTGTTTGATTTTAAGCCTCAGAGTTAATTATAATCGATATTAATATTTAAAATCTACGGATATATGAGTGATTTTTGTTATAATATAATGATTTTTCATAAATATTAATCTGATATTTAATTCTGACGAAGCAATTACTTTATATGTGGAGAAATTTTATTGTCGAATATTATGTTTATTAGAAAATCCAAAATCTCTGATAAAACTTAGTCATTTTAATTTAATTGAATTGATAATATAATGTATTACGAGCCAGAACTTATCATATATTATAGAAAACCTTTTAGTTTTTATATTTGAACATGTATCAGCAAGTACAAGATATTTAAATTACAATAAATTTATTAAAAGGTTTTTGATATTTATACTTAGTATGTAATAATATAATCATTTTATAGAATTTCGTATAAAAATTTTTTCAGTTATTACATAAACAGAGGTGGCTCGATAAATGTAAAAAATTTTGTTATTATTTTTGTATAACTTACATAAATAATCTATCAATCTTATATTTAAAAAAAAAATAGAGAATTCATCCACTCGTGAATAAAAATATATGCTTTTTCTTACAAAGAAAAAAAGTTATTTTTGTAATTTTACAGATAATAATTCTTTGATAAAACTTTGATAATTTATTGGTTAACGATAAGTAAAATATTAATTTTTAATTTTCAGAATAAGATTAAAAATTCCGAAAAATGTATTTTGCATTGTAAATGATTAAGATATTTTTTATAATATATAAAAG